CTCAAAATGGAACTTCAAGACGACATCGTAGCCCAATGGCCTCGCTCTTTGTCTCGAGCCATAGAACTTGCCCGCATCTATGACAATAAACATAATCGACGCCGTGGTCCTTTTCGTCCATTTTTTGCTTGCCCCTCTTTTACATAACTGAGTTCCTCGTCCTCTTCCCCTCTTCCACCACCCAAACCTGCTTCACCCTTTTCAGCGATGCTTCCCTTACGCCTCTCCCCAGCGGAAGTCCATGAACGCCGCTCAAGCGGCCAGTTCCTTTACTGCCCAGAAAAGTACTACCCCGGCCATTCATGTGCAACGCCACATCTACTCTTACTTGACGCTACTGCAATCTTTGAAGCTGCATCCTAGACACCGGCCGATGAACCACCACCAGCTCCAGACCAGTGCCCTTTGGAAGACCCTACCCCATCATCCTCAATGCTTTGACGTCCCCTAAACGGACCCGTAGGCGTGCTATACGCCTCATTGGCCATATTAGGAATCTATCAATTCAGGTGTTCGTCGACTCCGGGGCTGACCTCAACTTCCTCAACCCTTCAGTTGCCACTCGTCTTAGCCTTTGCATTGACCACTCTTTTATCGAGCCCAGCACAGTGTTGAACAGCTGCCTCTGTTATACCAAAAGCCTTGCTCTCAATGTCATAGTCAACTTACAAGATTACTTATTTTCCTCGAACATACGCCTCTTATCCATGATAAGGTGTGACCTCGTTCTTGGGGCCGAATGGTTAGAGACCTTAGGCTACATTGGCTGGCATTTCAAGAATAAAATTATGGAATTCCAAGTCCATGGCCATAACCATCGCTTAGTGGGGCTGTGTTCCCAAGACCCTGCACCTTCTCCAGTCTCTTCACGGGTCGATCTCAGCACCCTGGTTGCATCGCTGATGCAGGCTCCTTCACACTCTGAGGGTGCTTCTCCAACACCCCTACCACTTGAGCCAATTCTTAGCTCCTACTTGGATCTCTTCGAGCTCCCAACGGGTCTCCCTCCTCCACGACCCACTGACCATTGGATTACTTTGTTGCCCGGAACCCAACCGGTTAATGTTCGGCCATATCGCTATACCATGCTCAAAAAGCCGAAATAGAACGTCAAGTGGTAGAGATGCTCAAGGCCGACCTCATCTACCCTAGTACGAGTCCTTTCTTTTCTCCTGCTCTTTTGGTCCACAAAGCCGATGGTTGTTGGCAGTTTTGTGTTGATTACTGGGCCCTTAATTTGGTCACGATCAAGTTCCCCTTTCCTATCCCAATCATCGACGAACTATTAGATGAACTCAATCTTCTCAAAACTGGACCTCCGTTTCGGTTTTCACCAGATCAGGATGCATGTGCCGAACATTCCCAAAACCGCATTCCGCATGCATGAATGCCACTTTGAATTTTTTTGAGATGCTCTTTGGGCTGTGCAATGCCCCATCTTCCTTTCAGGCCTTAATAAACTCTGTATTCAAGCCTTTTTTACGAAAGTTTGTCTTGGTTTTCTTTGACGATATTTTCGTCTTCAGTCCAAACATGCAGACCCATCTCTCACACTTGGTTTCTGTCTTCGAGGTTCTCTATGCTCATGCCTTGAAGGTTAAAGCCTCTAAGTGTTCTTTCGGCCAACAAACAATGGCTTACCTTGGGCATATCATATCAGTTGCTGGCGTGGCAGTGGACTCTTAAAAGGTGCAATGCATTTTGGATTGGCCACAGCCTCGCACCATCAAAGGCTTACAGGGCTTTCTGGGATTAGCGGGTTACTACCATAAATTTGTCCGTGATTTCGGCTTACTTGTTCTCCCCTTGACAGAGCTCCTCAAAAAATAAGTTCCATTAGTCTCCAACGGCAGACACGGCCTTTACAACCCTCAAGAATGCCCTTACCTCTACCCGGGTCTTAGCTCTTCCGGACTTCAACCAACCATTCATTATCGAATGCGATGCGTCCAAGACAGGCATCGGGGCTGTTCTCTCCCAAAACAATCACCCAATTGCCTTCCTAAGCAAATCTTTGGCAAACAAACACAAAACTTTATCAATTTATGATAAAGAGATTATGGCCATTGTGATTGCCGTACAAAAGTGGCGCATTTACTTGCTCGAGCACCCCTTCCAAATTCTTACAGACCATCAAACCTTGAAGTACTTAATTAGCGGATCATAACATTAACTCAACAAAAATGGCTTCTCAAGTTACTGAGCTACAACTATACACTTGACTACCGGCCAGGTTCTTCAAACACAGCTATAGATGCTCTGTCCCGAAACACTAGTGCTTGGCCCTTATGGGTCTTTCCCAACCTATATTTGATAGTATCTCAGAGATCCAGGCAGAATATGCTACTGATCTGGAAGCCTCCACTATTATCCAACAATTCCACAACCACCAGCCCACACGCCCTCACTTTTCCCTTCGGGGTGACCTTTTCTACTATTGCGACGGTATTTTTGTGGTGGCTACTTCTCCATGGCGCAACCGAATTTTACAAGAATTTCACTCCTCCCTCATGGCAGGATACTCTGGCTTCCTACGAACCTATAAACGGGTTCGTCGAAACTTTAATTGGCCAAGTTTAAAAAAGGCAGTCAAGTCCTTCGTCTCCACTTACGATACTTGCCAACGCACAAATTATGAAGCCATCAAACCACCGGGCCAACTCCAGCCTTTGCCCATTCCTTCACAAATCTGGACGGACATCGTGATGGATTTCATTGACAGCATCCCGCATTCTCACGGCCGTAATGCCATATTTGTCGTTGTCGATCGTCTCTCCAAATATGCACACTTTATTTCCATCAAACACCCCTACTATACAGCTAAGGTGGCCGACATATTCCTCCAGGAAGTGTTTCGCTTACACGACATGCTTGCCACAATTGTTAACAACCGAGATCTCGTTTTCATCAGTAACTTATGGGAGTCATTCTTCAAGCTTAACAGCTCTCAACTCTGCCGTAGCTCCGCTTACCACCCCCAATCCGATGGCCAAATTGAGGTATTAAACCGCATTCTAGAACACTACTTGCACAGCTTTATGGGGGACACACCCACCTCCTGGGTCAACTGGCTACTGTGGGCAAAATGGTGGTATAACACCACATATCACTTGGCTACCCAACTCACCCCCTTTGAAGCTGTCTACGGGTAACCTTCGCCAAGGGTCTCCTCTTATTTGCCCGGCTCCTCCTCTGTCCACCTTGTGGATACCAAACTACGGGACTGAGATGCTTTACTTCGTCTCCTTCGAGAAAACTTACAGCTTGCTCAAGATCGTATGCGCCACCATGCCAACAAAAAACGTTCTGAGCGCGAGTTTCAGGTAGGTGATTGGGTTTTCCTTCGACTCCAACCATACCGACAGTCATCTGTCCACCACAACAACTGCCCCAAATTGGCTCCCCGATTCTATGGCCCCTACAGGATTATTGCTCGTGTCGGTAAAGTCACCTACACTTTGGACTTACCACCGAACTCCCGCATTCACCCCACCTTCCATGTCTCTCTCTTTAAACCAAAGCTCGGGTCTACTGTGGTTGCTTCATCTATGCTCCCACCTATCTCGGATACCGATCTGGTGGCTTGGACGCCAGAAACAATACTGCAGCGTGGCATCTTCAAATGTTGCAACCATGCTATCACACGATGGCTTATCCAATGGGCGGGCCTACCAGAACATGATGCTACGTGGGAGGACGCAGACACCATCCTCGACCGCTTCCCCGACTTCCCCGCTTGAGGACAAGCTTGTTCTTAAGGGGCAAGACTTGTTAGGACCCTGGCTAAGTGGACAATTGTTAGTCACTCTTTTGTGTTCTTTTGTCATTTCCTTGAAAATGTTGGATGCATCCAACAGTAGAACAAGTAGTGATGTGTTTCCATCGTGAGCGTTCCCCCTTCTAGGGTTGTATATACGCTCCCTTTCACCATTTGGGAAAGGAGGAATGAAAACTCAAGATGTTTTAGTTATTTCATTTCATGTTTTCTTTACATTATGCACTGTTGCATTCCTTGTTCCTATCAAAGAAGGCAAGGCAGCATACCTCTAGTGCTGCTACTTCCATAACCAACCTTCAAAGAAGAAGAAGAAGCAGCAATCGTTGCCCGCATCATCTTCAGCATCTATAAGCCAGCGAGTTGAGAGTTGCTCACAAATCAAAGAATTGTTGTAGCACTGTTTGTGAGAGTTCAAGAGCATGAATTTCATGTTTTTTTTCTAGTTTTAGGTCATCTTCAACATTTGCGTTAAAACTTAAAATCTAGGTTTTGAACCCCCTCTTTTAGATCATCGACGATAAGAAATGACATTATTATGATTTTAACAAATGAGCAAAGCAGGTGAAAGCATTATCATGATTTTAGGCTTGGACTAAATTAAATTTCTTTGAGTCTATATATAAAATGAGCCAAGTGAATAAGATATTTAAAAAAATAAATAAACGATTCGGTCTGGTTATGAGGTTCTACCAAGATGAAAACCGAAATGGATATGAACGGTTCGGTCAGGCGTAAGTTGATTTTTTTTTTTTGGTCAACATTGTTTTTTCCGGTTTATTATGTCGTTGTCAATTCGGTTCCATGATTTTTATGTCCACTCCTACAATTATATATAGAAATAAGAGCCTGTATTTTATATGACACGTTTTGGATTCAATTCTTGGCACTAGTGAATCATATGATAATGGTCAGGAGAGATTGAAATGTCTCTGTAAGTCTTTTCAGCCTCCGAAATGATGGATTGTCGTGACAAAGCCATCAACTAGTTAGGTTTTTTTTTTTTTTTTTTAACATACTACATTAAAATTGAACAACTCTTTTTTATAACAAACGATATTATCTACACCAAGAGGGGTGAGTGGTCAAAGTCTCACAATAGGTTAGTCATATTAATGTGTTTCAAATCTAAGACATCTCATTTATAAGAAAAAATGAATATCACTAGGCCGTGGATTAAATGGCAATTGAAGACGTTATTAGATGCAAAAGTGAGAAGTACTGAGCATGAAAGTTTTGCATGCTTAAAGTCGTGAAACAAGTCAGCAATGAAGAGCACCTGTATTCAACAACTTTCCATGTCTAAATTGTGTGAGTTACAAACTTCACCTTCGTTCTTCACTTAAAATACATATAGCACCAAGTCAGGTGTCAAATTTACAAACTAATTAGGTAATTGTGCACCAAAAATCTGAAGGCAAACTGAAAATTACAATAAAACGATAATATAATAAGGCGTCAAGTTAAGCAAAATAGTACAAAACATGAACAATTAAGATTACCAATGAGAAAAACCGAACCTGTATGACTAAGATAGTGGTTGATAAACTCAAATTTTCCCTTCAAACATGCATAGAAGCGTCTTTAGCCTTTCAAAATACATCACAATAGCATATTATTGCTCAAATTTCTAACCCTAATGAAAAGTAAAATTAATAAACAAAGGAAATTGCAGCTTACAAGAAAAAAATAAACGCGAATGTGCAATGGTTGAGGAAAGAAATGCAAAACCTGAACGGGCAAATGGAAACATTTGGTATTTCACAAACTCTCTCTCATTTTTTCTCTTCTTCCTCTTCCAGCGAACTTTCTTATAATTGTATGTAACCATTTCTTAAAGTCTTACAATTGTAGGGTTTTGCACAAAAAGAAAGAGGAGATGCTGACGTTTGGTGGGTTGCTCTTATTAATTTTTTTTAGGTAAATTACATTTTACCCCATCATGTTTGTGGTTAATTGTAACCTTATACAACATTTTTAAAACATTTCAATCACATACATTTGCTTATTATTTCATTTCAATTTCATACATCTGCTAGTCAATCTGCTAAATTTGACCGTTAAATGATAATGTATCAACTGTGGATCCCACATTTTTCTAATCTATTTTTTAAACCTATATGGGTACATCTTTTTCATTGATTTGAAAATGTATCCATGCTAAGTTATTCGAAGAAATCTATTTTCCTAGGGTCGGGTGATGCACGAATCGAGTGACATTGTTGAGTATTTTCAATGCTTGGAATGGGGAAAGAATCTGTTGAGAATTTTACAAGCATAGAGAAAGTTGGTCTCAAACCGAATCGAGTGACATTGTTAAGTATTTTCAATGCTTGCGGCCATGGAGGATTAATTGATGAGGGCCTGAACTTTGGGAAGATGATCGATGAGTATGAAATTGCACTGGACATCAAGCACTACCGGTGTTTAATAGATATGCTACGGAGGGCAGGGAGTATAGAAGAAGCAGAAAAGATGGCCTTGGAGATTCCTTGCAATATTGTTTATGTTGTGATTTGGAGGACGCTCTTGGATGCTTGTAGCTTTCATGGTAATGTGGAGATGGGTGAGAGGGTGACGAAGAAGATACTGGAGATGGAGCGAGGATACAGAGGGGACTACGTGCTTATGTCCAACATCTTTGCTGGTGTTGGAAGGTATAGTGATGCAGAGAGAATAAAAAGCTTGCTTCATGAGAGGAACGCCTTCAAATTTGCAGGCCATGGTTTGTTCCGACTGTTGTTCAAGATGGGCAACTATGGTCCTGCGTAAATCCTCTTTTCGAAAAACGTTTGCTGAGGATGATTTGTGTACCATTCACAAATTTATATTACCAACAGGACTTGTGAACCTGCATTTCAACAACTCAAGGCATTTGTTTCAATGGTGAACTTGCCGGCGAGCACTGTTTAGAGCGTACACAGAGAATTCCACTTTGAGAGAGTCTCATTAGCGTTTCACTTGATTCCTATCTGGCTAATAAATACATTTTTTAAATTAGCTTTGATGGTTTTGTTCATGCTAATGGTATTATGGTAAATGCTGCTGCAGGGTTAGTAATTCGAGATCATAATAGTAATCCAATAAAAAGAAAACTTACATTTTCAAGCCTATACCACCAATGGATATGTCAACTTATGCTTCGAGCTTCAAACCAGCAGGTCTCTTGGATCACTCCGAGAGGTAGAACAACCACACTTTCTAGGGTTCACTAGAGTTAAAATGGTTGCAAACTCAAATCAGTCTTCATTCATGGTAGTAATCTGTAAAGATATTCAGAATCTTACCACATCTTATGCTGGTGCTCGTTTTAGGAAAGAAAGGCTTCCTGAGAAGTAAATAGCCGTTGTATCAGGTGTCCCTTCTGCTTTGCACCCAGGAGCTTGTAGTACTCACAGTTGGAAGGAAAAGTCCGCCAGTTTTTGCCTTGTATTGGGATATGAAATTGTAACTTTCTCTTCAGGTTGGTAATTACTAGCATATGCTCGCTTAATTAAACACCATCAGTTGGGAGAAGGCATAACTGTAATGATTATCGCCACATTTATGCCAAATTGAGCTCTTCCAAATTGCTGGTCTTTTACTAGTCATCCAGTCTGTTTATCGTGCCAGCACTATTGAAATTTACTCACCACCTGCAGCTGTTAATATGAGGGGATTGTTCGGGGCATGCATCTTAATTCTTCAGCCCTGAGCATCCTCCCTGTTCTGGATTCAGAAACGGAAGACTGACGGAGCCAAACATTTAGTTGCAATTGCCTTCTTATTGCACATACATTACCAACAGGACTCGTGAACCTCCATATCAACAACTCAAGGCATTTGTTTCAATGGTGAACTTGCAATATTTTAGTGCAGATAGAAAAATGATTAAGAAAAGATGGAATTCGTATATTCTTTGTTTAATCACATCTGACATCGTTTGATCGGATACAGATTGTACCTTTCATGATGGAATTCGGATGCATCATTTGATCAGATGTGTATTGTATCTGGTGTTGGAGCAACTGCACAAGTTTAAGAAAACGATTGGGTCCTCGTCCTGTAGCTATCATTTCCTCCATTGCTTCTTTCATCAGACCCATATCCTTTAAAATTAATTATTGCCAAAAAATAAAAGAGAAGTTAAACCAAGCCATAAATATGTCTACGAATTTCATATCAGTCCCATTACTCTGCTTTTTCAACAGATTTCATAATCTTAAAAGAAGAGTATCACAAAAGTTGCTCCATCACTTGATAGCTTCAATTAATAACACAGATCATACATCACTAGCCAATGCACGAATGAATGGCTCCCAGAACTGCACTCAGCAGCAGAACAACTCCCTCCACTGTACCATTCAAGAGAAGGAAGCACCAAAACTGAAAAGATGCAAAATAATTTCTTCATGTTCTTTCTATAAATGCCAACAAAGCGGGATCTACTTTATCTTTAGATAATAAATTAACGACCAACTCCGTAGTTGATGCATCTGCAGAAAAACCTCTCTCCACCATTTCCTGAATAAGCCTCACCGCCGTTGATGTCTCATTGTTATTGATAAACCCTCGGATAATTGCGTTGTACGTGCAACCATCTGGACAACAACCTTTCTCTTCCATTTCTCTAAGCAAGTTTTCTGCTTCGCCTGCTATTCCCCGGTTACAAAATCCACTAATCATTATGGTATATGTCAAGACATTAGGTTGAATTCCTTTTGATGATAAACTACGAAAAAGATCCCATGCATATTCAACTTTTTCAGCTTTGCACAATCCTTCAATAAGAATATTGTAAGTTACAATATCAAAATCCAACTTCTTTCCCTCCATCTCTTCCAAAAGTTCAACTGCCATAGAAAGTTGCTGGTTTTTACAAAGGCCATCCAGCAAAATATTATAAGTTCGAATATTTGGAAGTTGGCCACAAGTTTGCATTTGAGAGAACAAGTTCTGTGCATCTCGTATTCTTCCCATCTTGCAAAACCCATCCATAAGAGTGTTATAAGTAATAGTATTTGGAACAACTCCCTTATGAGACATTTCCAGAAAAAGCATCTGGGCATCATCTATCCGTTTACACTTACAATAGCCGTTTATCATTACGTTATAACCACGAGCATCAACCATGAAAGCCTTGCTAAGCATTACTTCAAAAACCTCTTTTGCCTCGACCATTTCTCCTCGCAAACAATACCCATCCATAAGCGAATTGTACGTGATTGTACTAGGTTTGATATCTCTTTGAATCATCATCTCAACCACACTCCTTGCTTCCTGGACCATCCCCTCTTTGCAGAATGCATCAACCAAGACATTGAAGGTGTGCGCATTTGGAAAGATATGTTTCACCACCATTTCATTCAACAATCTTGTAGCTTCTTTCCACTTCCCTACTTTGCAAGCTCCGTGAATCAAAGAGGTATAGGTAATGACGTCGGGAGCAATGGCCTTACTCGTCATTTCTAAAAAGAGGTTCAGTGCATCAACAACTAGAGCATCCTTGCAAAGACTGTCGATGATCGTGTTGTAGACAATTACGTTAGGCATGCAAGCATTTTCTTCCATCTTCTTAAGCAATTGGATTGCTGCACTATTGTTACCCTTCATGCAAAGACCCTTAACTAATGTGCCGAAAGAAACCACATTCGGCTTGCAATTACCACTCTCCAACATTTTATTGAAAAGTGCTGCAGCCTCGGCCTCTCTATTCTTAAGAAGAAAGCCGTTGATAAGAGTGGTGTAGGTCGTGACATCTGGCTCTAAACCTAATTTGAAGAAGTTACCCAAGACTGACAAACTAAACTCCACTTGGTTGAGATGACAGAAGCAATTAATGATAATGGCTAGAGTATAAACATCTGGACGAATTCCGGACACAACCATTTGGTTATTCATGGAGATGACTGCCGAATAATGTTTCATCTTGGCAAGTTGAGTCAAGATTTGGTTGAAAGGGACAACGGAAGGCAGAGGACGCCTTTGAAGCATTTCGTCGAACACATTGAGAGCATCCTCAACATTACTGATTTTCAAAAGATGGTGTTGTTGAGTATTTCTAGATTCGGTCGATTTAGAAGCTCGAGAGTGAAACAAAGCCAAGTAATTGTTGAAGAAAACAACAACAGGAGAAGATTGAAGAGGGCAAGGCAGCATACCTCTGGTGCTGCTGCTTCCATAACCAACCTTCAAGGAAGAAGAAGAAGTAGCAATCGTTGCCCACATCATCTTCAGCATCTCTAAGTCAGCGAGTTGAGAGTTGCTCACAAATCAAAGAGTTGTTGGAAGACTGTTTGTGAGAGTTCAAGAGCACGAGTTTCATGTTTTTTTCTAGTTCTAGATTAACTCAAATTAAAAATAAATACACAAATCAACGAAAATAAATTATTCTTTTTTGTTAGGAGAAGAGAAGCTTGAAGAAGAACAAGTCTAACTCTCGAATAATTCAAATTACTACATTTAAACCTCTTTCAGACCATCTTCAACATTTGTGTTAGAATTTAAAATTTAGGTTTTAAACCCCCTCTTTTAGACCATCGATGATAAGAAAAGACATTATTATGATTTTAACAAATGAGCAGAGCAGATGAAAGCGTTATCATGATTTTAGGCTTGGACTTAATTAAATTTTTTTGGGAAATAAATCATATCCAAATCTCTTCCATCTAAACTCGGGGATCAAGTGATTCGGGTTCTTGAAATTTGATCCAACGGCTAAAAATAAGGAGCCCTTTTAAAAATTATAATAACATTAGCAATTAAATCAAATTTCAAGAACCTGGATCACTTGATCCGCGGGCTTGGGTGGAAGAGATCCGAAGATGATCTCTTTTCATTTCTTTGAGTCTATATATAATATAAGCTAAGTGAATAAGATATTTAAAAAAATAAATAAACGGCTCGGTTTGGTTTTGAGGTTCTACCAAGATTAAAACCAAAATGGATATGAATGGTTTGGTTCAGTTCTTGAACGTAAGTTGATTTTTTTTTTTTTCGATTTGTTATGTTGTTGTTCTATTCGGTTCCATGATTTTTATGTCCACTCCTACAATTATATATAGAAATAAGAGCTCGTATTTCATATGACACATCTTGGATTCAATTCTTAAGGCTGGTGAATCATATGATGGTGATCAAGAGAAACTGAAATGTCTCTGTAAGTTTTTCCGGCCTCCGACAGGATGCACTGTCATGACAAAGCCACCAATTGGTCAGTTTTTTTTTTTTTTTTTAAAGCATACAATACTACATTAAAATTGAACACCTTTTTTTTTTTTTAACAAACAATATTATCTACACCAAGAGGGAGAAGTGGTCAAAGTCTCACAATGAGTTAGTCATATTAATGTGGTTCAAATCTAAGACATTTTACTTATAAGTAATAATGAATATCACTAGGCCGTTGGATTAAGTGGCGATTGAAGACATTATTAGATGCAAAAGTAAGAAGTACTGGGCAAGAAAGTTTTGCATGCTTAAAGCCGTGAAACAAGTCAGCAATGAAGAGCACCTATATTCAACAATTGTCCATGTCTGAATTGTGTGAGTTGCAAACTTCACCGTCGTTCTTCACTTAAAATACATATAGCACCAACTCAGGTGTCAAACTTACAAACTAATTAGGTAATTGCACCAAAAATCTGAAGGCAAACTGAAAATTACAACAAAACGATAATATAATAAGGCGCCAAGTTAAGCAAAATAGTACAAAACATGAACAATTAAGATTACCATTGAGAAAAACCAAACCTGTATGACTAAGATAGTAGTTGATAAACTCAAATTTTTCCTTCAAACATGCATATATAGAAGCGTTAGCCTTTCAAAATACATCACAATAACATATTATTGCTCAAATTTCTAACCCTAATGAAAAGTAAAATTAATAAACAAAGGAACTTACAGCTTACGAGAAAAAAATAAATGCAAACGTGCAACGGTTGAGGAAAGAAATGCAAAATCTGAATGGACAAACAGAAACATTTGATATTTCACACTCTCTCATTTTTTTCTCTTTCTTCTTCCTCTTCCAGCAAACTTTCTTATAATTGTATGTAACCATTTCTTAAAGTCTTAGTACTTATTTGGATGTGCTTTGAAAATGACAGAAAACGCTTTTGGTGAAAATGTTTTTAGAACCAATCCTTAGTAAAAATACAAGTAAATTCTGGAAAGACACTTAAAGTGCTTCTTGGAAGAAGCACATAACTGGTGCTTCTTACAGAAAGCACATAAGTGCTTTTGGAACCAAAAAAATATTTTCTCTAAAAGTTCTTTAGCCATTTTAAAAGTATATCCAAACAAGTCCGTACAATTGTAGGATTTTGCACAAAAAGAAAGGAGATGTTGACGTTTGGTGGGTTGCTTTTATTAATTTTTTTTTGGTAAATTACATTTTACCCCCTCATGTTTGTGGTTAATTGTAACCTCATACAACATTTTTAAAACATTTCAATCACATACATTTACTTATTATTTCATTTCAATTTCATACATTTGTTAGTCAATCTGCTAAATTTGACCGTTAAATGATATGTATCAACTGTGGATCCCACGTTTTTCTAATCTATTTTTTAAACTTATATGGGTACATCTTTTTCGTTGATTTGAATATGTATCCATGCCAAATTATTCGAAAAAAATTATTAATATTATTAGGCCTAATATTTATTATTATTATTATTATTATTATTATTATTATTATTTCGTGGTTCTGAAGAATGTACCCATGTTTTGGGTTTGAAGAATTTACCAAACGTTTTATGGTACAATAACTTTTGGTTAATATTGATGAATGTACTATATATATGTACACAATATGTTCTCTAATATGTGTGTACATACCTTTTATGGCAAAATATGATTTTTCTACATTGGCAACATTGTCTCATCATCCTATCATGAGACGTTTGGTTCTTTTTACATTTAGTTTCTTAAGTTTTAGGACAATGATAAAAAAAATAAAAAATAAAAAAAATAAAAAAGAAGCTTTGTATGGCCACGTTGCAAACGTAACGTATACTCCCTACAAATATTGGCCATTCCAATTTACATGATCATGCAAATAGAGCACCACAAGCATGGCCGACAAAAACTAAACAAAAACACGTTGCGAACGTAACGTATACTCCTTACAAATATTGGCTGTTCCAATTTACATGATCCTACAAATAGAGCACCACAAGCATGGCCGAAAAAAAAATTAAACAAAAATTAAAAATAAATCGTCACTTGAGAGGTTCAAACTCTTCCGGGGGAACCTCATGCACTTAGCAAGCACACGCCTTAACCACTTGGCTAAAGCGACTGTTGATGACATAAGAGGCTACTCATCTTTTTTTAATTAACTATTTAAATAAAAAAAATTAAAAATAAATCGCCACTGAGATGTGAGGTTGACGTTTGATGGGTTTCTCTTATTAATTTTTCGAGTAAACTACATTTTATTCCCTCAAGTTTGTGGTCAATTGCAACTGCATACAATATTTTTGAAACATTTTAATCACATACCTTTACTTACTATTTCATTTCAACGTTGTATAGCCACTTAGTACTACGGTTTAGTGGTATTTCTCTTCACTTGTAAGTGAGAAATCTTAGGTTATTTCTCGTCAATTGCTTATTTGAAACACATTATTGCTAGTGTATTATGAAGCTTAGCTCACTCCCCACCCCGTTAAGTGAACATAATATCGTTTTATTTGGGAAAAAAAAGGTTTTATAATGCAAGAGCTGTAAAATAGTAAAATTTAAAATAAAATAAAAAGAAGGTTAAACAACCAGTTATCACATTCAAACACGACTAGTTATTCAGGCCGCACAAGGTTGGAATTGGGAACTAGTCTTGGACTCTTATCTCCAACCTGGATTATCACTTAATATACATATTTGTAGGATTCGTAAAGCAAGCAGAGGCAATCTCATGGATTGGTATTCGAGTCATAAATATGTTTACAAATTTCATACTAGTCCAGATACTCTGCTTCACCAACAGATTTCATAATCTTAATTGATAAATTCAATTAATAATGTTGTATAAGTGGCCAAGTGGCCAAAAACCTTTCGGTGCATATAATAAAAAATGAAGGACATAATGATGTGGGAACATCATTATGAGGAGACAAATGATTATGTTTCCTTTTGTTTTGTTGAATTTTCAAAGGCAGAAAATTTGGTGTTTTTACTCCCACCTTTTGCCTTTGGAGAAGAAGTGAAAGCATCATTTGGTTTTTGGAGAAGCCCAACTTTGCTCAGAGAGCAGAGCAGCAGAGCATCCGAGCAGAGAAGAATGAGTGCTACATTCCTCATTGGAAGAGAGCACCTCTCTTCGGTTAGTAATCTTTCATCAAAGTTGTATTTGTTGTATTAGCTTTGAGCTTCATATAAAGAGGAAATTATTCATTATATTTCTCTCTATTTGTTTTCTTTGGTATGTGAGAGCTATTGGTTGTATTGGGGTTTTGGGGTTGTGAGCTTGCCAACACGTTGTAAACTTCCATTTGGTTGATAGTGGATTATTGGGTGAGTTCCTACTGCTCCGAGAACGTACTCCAGTTACACTGACTGTTAAGGAACCTCGTTAAAATATTGGTGTCTTTAATATTTTGTTCTTGCATTCCATTTGATATATTTCCTATGGGTTAGCTTGAGTTGGTTCCATAACGCTTGGTGCTATTCCTAGCATAACAATTGGTATCAGAGCACTGGTTGCTCTTGGGTGTTGTCTAGTTGCCAAAGATGTTGGACGGGCAAGATGAGAATCTTTTTGGAAGCAGCTCCGGGTTTGCAAGAACTACGGTGCAAAATGCAAGATTCCAAGTGGAAAAATTTGATGGCACAAACAACTTCGGGATGTGGCAATGTGAGTTCAAAGATGTGTTGGCTCAACAAGATCTACTTGCCGCTTTGGGAGAGAAGCCAGAAGCTATGTCGAAGCCGAAATGGGAGAAATTAAATTTGTGGGCTCGCTCTTCAATTCGGTTATGCCTTACAAAAACTCAAAAGTATTTTGAGATGCAGGAGACATTAGCAAGTGTGTTGTGGCAAAAATTGGAAGACAAGTATATGACGAAGAGTGCAGAGAACCAGCTACATTTGAAAAAGCTCTACCGCTTCCAATACAAAGAAGGTACAAAAATGATTAGACACTTTGATGCTTTTAATAAGTTGATTGCCGACTTGTTAAATTTAGATGAGGATATTAAGAATGAAGATAAGGCCTTAATATTGTTAAATTCCTTACTAGACTCTTATGAGCATTTTGTTACCACTATTATGCATAGTAAAGAAACTGTGAAATTTGAAGATGCGTCAAATGCCTTGATGAATTATGAAATGAGGCATAGAGATAAAAATCATGATAGTACCTCTGAAACTTTATTTGTTAGAGGTAGATCATCGAAGAGGAGGTTCTCTTCTAGTAGGAAAAAATCACACTCTTGACCTAGAGGAAACTCTAAAGGTAGAAAAACCTTGGAAAGGGATGAATGTGCCTTTTGTCATAATAAGGGTCATTGGAAGAAAGA